AGCCCAAGGAAAGAGTCGTATTTTTTGCGGCCTAGGAAGGCGTCCATAAGCTGGAAAAGCGGCAATGCTAGCCCTGATAAAGCTGGCACCCGTTTTGACAATGGCGCTGAAAATTTGGCATATCTTTGACCCCACTCGACCTAAGGACTTGTTAAGATGATATTCGCAGATATTTGAAGCTGTGAATCTTACCGGATTGGAAAAGTTCTCCCCGGAGCCGGGGTTTACACTGATTTGATGGAAGACGTAGCCTAACTGATCGACCACTTCTTTCAAGGCTACAAGCTCCTTTAATAGTCCTTCGTTATCCCTAAATAACTCGAGTTATTAGTTGAAGTTTTTTGACTCCAAAAAATCCTTAAGGAACAATACCTATCCATTACCATCTCTTGACATCTTGCAATCAACTCTACTCCCGGCGTGAAACATCCATGGCTAGCAGCCATACAAATCAAGAACCCGCGCTCCGCTAAATCCTGGAATACCGGCCACCTAAGGTCCATATTCTCAAATCGCTCCACATATGGATAAACACTCGTCGGATCCCTGAGCTTGTAATTATATATCGACACATCATACTGTGTTAGATGCGGTAATGGCCTTCCCATTCTCGTACACACAGTTCGCAGTGGAATTGCTACATTCCGCGGTATTCCTTTCGTCTCTTCCTCCTCATCTTCCGCATCTCCTGTGGCGTTTAAGAAAGCCGATGCATGAGCGCCAGCTATAATTCCCTCATGACCATCGTTCCTCTCTTCATAACGATAGACACTTGCCAATATCCCCAGACACACCGTGGCCGCCCACAGTGCCTGATCCGGGATAACCCCAGGCCCGCCACTAATAAGCGGAAGCTCCAGGATAGCTTCTCGAATTTTCCCACGGCCAACAAGCCCCGGCATTCGAGCGCACAAGTCGCTCCAGACACGTCCAGGACTGGACGCCAATGCAATTGGAGAGGCAGAAGGGTCAGGAGGGCAGAATCCATGTGAGCTGGTCAAATACCCGTCTCTCCATCCTGTCCGAGGACCCATGGATTCCGCACGCTGTAGGACACGGCGTGCGGGCGCGCCGAGGGCGGCGGCGAGGACGTCTTCACTGGAGGGGGTGAGGATGTCGGCGTTTTTTAGGCCACGGGTTTGGTCTTTGGAGGGTGCGCTGGGGAGGAGAACGTCGACCATGGTGCGCCGTTCGCGCTCGTATATTATGGCTGGTGCACTGGGACCTTGGGGAGCCTGTTTGGGGTAGTGTTAACAACTGAGTCTATCAATCATGGCTAATTGCTAATGGTTTTAGTAGTGTAATACTTACACCATAGAGAACTTGTTGTGCGTCTAGTGAGAAGCCGGAAAAGGCACAACCTCTAGGTCCCATCCTGGAGGAGCTTCTTGAGCCAGGGCAGGAACCAGAGGCGTCCGAGTTACCGCTGACGGGGCATCTTGAATTGTGAATTGCCATTATTTATTTGTCTTAAGTAGGAAGAGGTAATATTAATTAAGAGTTCTCAAAATCCAGCTTTGGGAAGAATAAATAATAAAAGTTAAGATGGAAACTAGAATTTGTAATATGAGTATCGTATCGTGAATATTGTGTTGAGGACCGGCCGAGCACTGGAATACCTAACTGCCTAGACCACCAGTACCAACAAAAAGGCGGAAGCTCGTGATCTTTTATGTGTTGAATCGCAGCCGGGCTGCCGCCGCCAAGTTTGTCTCTCCTGTCTCATTGAGACGGGCGAGGTACCTGTGAAAAGGTGGTTATGGGCGTTACATTTTGATATTCTGTTTCACTCGTCAGGCCCCAGAACCGCATCTGCATGCCCTTTGACCTTGCCACTGCGCAGTGGTCCCCACCACCAACAGTATGTCAAGGTCTTCGTCAACGGGCCCCACGCGACAGGTTTGACTCGTGGAACCGCCGTTCGGACCCGCGCGCGTTTCAATGTGGCACTTCTCCACCAACCAACTCCGTATGTAGCCAGGAGGTCGGGTTCTAAGACATGTGTAGATGCCTCTAGACTCCCCAAACTTTACATATACTTACTGGCTCATAGAATAATCAGTATTAAGCTTGATCTTCACAGAAATGGTGAGAAATGAAGTGCCACTAAACCAATAGAGATGTCTTGCGATTGCTACGCGCGACCTGTGTCTAAGATACGACGATAGTAAGCTCTTAAACGAATGTCTTAGTTAAGCCTCTGTCGGTAAGGGGTTTCTCGCGTGCCAAGACTTCCACAATGCAACTGCAGCTCCTCCTCATTACCTACCTAGCCGAATCGAACGATTCATTGGTTACCATTTGCTAATAACTGTTTTGCTTCGTCCTCATCACCTTATCGACGATCTCAACTCCAAGCAGCGGCTAAAAGGTTTTTGTGATACGACAGTTATGGCTGCTGGTTCGAGACAACGCATATGTTTTCATATGTTCAGAAAGCTCCTTTGCGACATGGATTTGGGCAGGCTGGTCTGAGAACTGTACCTTTCCCCACTTTCAAAACTTTATTCAGGAGTTTATCTCAATTGCATTGGCAATGTTACGATATATCTGAAACAACCTCAGTTATATACTACTAGCAGTAGTCACATATGGCTGTGGGGTTATGCCCGGGCCAACTCTTTTCCCAGACGTCAAGCAAGGCTTGAGGGCTGCCAAGGTGTTTGATATAAGATGGTCATCCCGGGACCGCGTCACCCCATCAAACATCGATGTGCTCAAGCCAAGGGATTTGAAAGGCCATGTATTAGATTCACCGCTGAATCTTGGTACCCTACTTTGCCGAACTTGAAGCTTAAGAAAAACAGGGTTAACCCAAGTTTCGAGTAAATCAATTAGCACTGTGTTTACCAACTACCAGGAATTGACACAGTGGTTTAGGCTTCAGATGGTACATATTTGGTACAAAACTTCTTCCTCAGAGTTAATAAATCTAGGAAAGTAGTCTTGATGGCCATCATAGTACCGGAATCCCGGAAAAATCCGTATTTACTGCTTACGGTCCGACCTATGCACAGTATTGTCTGGTGTAGATATTTACACCGTATACAAAATCGGAGATTTCTCCGTGGCCCTCGAGCTCTAGCCTGAAGCAAAATCTCTTCGTGGTCTCCTCCGATCCCCGCCCAACATCAGGGATTTCTACTGGCACATATAGACTTGAAACGGGATTAAGCACTTTTTAAAAGCGAATACCCACCCAAATTTGGGATATGAATTTAACAATGATTATATCCGCTGTTTTGGACCAACCTACTAGCAAATAAATTGGCCTGGACTTTCAAATTCACTCATTTAGTCATTCATACAACATGAATTTCCCTCCAAAAAGCTACCTACAATGTACGGCACATGCCGTTACTGTTGCCGTTATGAGGATACTTCATCTCTTATAATTATATAACACAACTCTTAAGAGAGGGGGTATATGGGTTTACAGGGCTATAACGGAACTTTCCGTGCCCTACGTCTTATGAGAGTTTCTGCCTTATGTATAAGGCTAGTAAAGTATCAAGTTTTGGCCCGAATATCAGTTCAGATTCATGCTTGTAGTAGTTACCGCTCAATTTGGAGACGAGGATACCAAAACCCTGGGCTCCACATGCACGCTTGAGTATTTAAGCACTCGATCACATGTACGATCAATCAACCGAACGTCTGGTATCAAGAAAATTCTGTTGAGCCGTTGGAAGGAATTCTATTCTTCAGTTGCGCCGTCTAGATTGCTTCACCATATTTAGCCCTATATTCTTTCAATCACGGGGCATTCCTCCCCCTAAGTTGAGTACTTGCATACTGATCAAGACGGAGCGGCAGCTAAGTATGTGAGATAAGATACTTAAAGCTTCTTAATCTAGTGTCATGTAAAATGTATTGTGTGATGTTGAGGTATTTAAGAGGTCACTATTGATACAGACCGCCCCTTGAGGGAAGCTTTCGGCGTGTATCCGAATGATATTAAACCAGTTCCAGGAGAATCTCTATAGCGCCTGATTCGAATAGAACATTCTAAAGTATCTACACCAGTTATGGTGCGGAGTCCATGGAGTTGGATCGGTTTCTGCATTCCGGCGAGGTTCCATAGAGAGGACTATCTAAATCCGTCCTTGGTGGCTTATAATTTATACATAATTATTAACGCTGTTATTACCCTGGTGATGCTTGCTACATGCATACATCTAAGTTACGCCCTGATTCGTCCACCTAGATAAACATGCATAATTCGAAAATCCCACTTCTGTTTCCTCGAGAAACATTCCAAAAAGCATTTGCCAGCTCTTGGCCTTAGATCGAGTGATATTCCGTGCTTGTTCCCACCCTTAACGCCAGGATAAGCCAGAGCACCAAAAAATATCGCCCCAACCCTATGCAACAATAATCTCTCAAAGTTGAAATGGAAGGAATGCCCCGGAACCTCCCACTGACAGTTCTTTGGTAAATATCAAGCTTTGAGCTCCTTAGCGCTAGAATTTACGAAATTAGGTTCGGGCCGATATCTCTACGCTAGTGGGCCGACTGTCTTCTGTGCTGAGCTCGTTACCCCACTGCTGCTTTACATCGCCCATGATTACATGTATCCACAATAAAGCGGTTTCACCTCGTGATATCTCTTATAAAGAGCTTACTGTTTGATCATTGTATGCTAGATGCTGGGGTCGAGCATGATTACAAGTCAACACCTTGAGGTGAGTACCCCCCATATATCGAGCTAGGAGTTATCGGAATCTCGACATCCTCAAATGTTCAGGGCCTTAATTCGCTCTTTGCAAATCAACGGAACGCATTGCATTGACTCAATTAACCGAGTGTAGATTCATTAGACAACTAACTAGATATAACAACTCCAAGTGTACAAAGATGCAAGAGAAGGAAAAACCCAGCATGAAAAGGACCCTCAAGCCCGCCATTAAACAGAATCGAATACAGTTCGTAAAGACATCACAACACCACAAAGCAAAAAGATAAAGAGAGAAAAAGAGAAATAGGGAGGAAGCAGGTAATTAAACCACATCATCTCCTCTCCTCCTTCCGCTCATTCTAGCACCCCTCCCAGACCCTCCAACAAGATCTCCCATATCTACAGCCGCCGACGTTGCATCAAACGGAGCACCCGTCAAACCACCGCCCAATGTTCCCCATCCTGCTTTCCTAGTTGCCATCGCATCATGGAAACTCCTCATCTCATCCGAATCGGTGTATGAGAATCCCATTGTTCCGCTGCCACGAGGAAGCGGGATGTGGTTGAACCTGAAGTCCCATACTGATGCGTATACCATCCTGAACGATGAGAATGCGAACATAGTACCGATAATTGCACCTGCAATAACATCATAGTAGTGATGATACTCATCGATCGTCAACGATCCTGCAATAAGGACGGCGCCAAGAACAGGTGCATATAGCAGTGTCTGCTTCCACATGGCGCCATGGTAGTTGGAGAAGACCTTCATCTTTGCGTTGAAGTACAAATACAGGAAGATGAACCCAGCGAATGCGGCGGTGCTGTGCCCCGATGGGAACGACTCTAGCGAGTCGTTGATTTCTTTTTCGTCACCGGTACAAATACTACGGTCGTACATAATCTGGCGGAGACCATTGCCGGTATTCATCCCGACATCTGGGAGGTTTGGTTTACAAACCGCGAGGAAGTGTGGGCGAAGACCACCAATGAGCCATTTGAGAAAGACCTGGAAGACGGCGGCGTTGATGAGGGAATAGAGGAGCCCAACGACTGCGGCGTTGAGGTCCCAGAAGCTGCGAACGCGAATCTGGAATAGGACGAAGAATATCAAAGGTATAAAGAAGGCGAGGAACGCAGCGAGCCAGATGGGGATAATGTTTTTGCGAAGGGGGTACGCAAACTGGGGGTATACGATTTCACCATCCTGGAAATAGACGGGGAAGGACCGTGAGGGCGCTGGAGGCGCCATGTAAACACCAAGACCGACGGCTCCCAAGCACGCCATGGTTATAATGTCGATCCAGATAGTGCGGAGCCATTCGCCAAATGTGGGCCGTTCATTCATGTGTCTCCCGAAAACCCGTCTGTGCTTCTCGGGGCCATTGGAGGCGCTGGAGCGGCGGTGGTGGTGGTGCCTACCGGAGGTGCCATCTCCAGCCGGCGCTGCGGGCTCAGTGTTGCGTGAGAATAGCCCCATTGTGAGCGAATAGAGGTCTTGAGGTTATTGTGAAGATGTGGAATTGCTTGCTGATGATCTGGGAAAAATACATCGTGGTGGCTTGAACGTATTTATATTCAATGAAATTGATGTTCACGTCACAGCGAAGGGTTTCATTCCTTGGTTCAAATTCTTGTTTGTGGGTGGCATGACGAAATGGCATGCAGGAAGGGTTGATCGTCCCGTCCTGTCTTGTCCTTGTCTCTGGTTGGAAGTTGGAACGCGAGGAAACAAGCTTTGTCCAAGCCTTGGGGCCGCATGTGGCAGAAAGCTTGGAATGACGGAGGAACGCGTGGCGCATAGCGCTAAGCATTCTGGGTTGCCTAGCAGTATGACTTCTACCCACGCAACTTGCAGGGTGTGTAAATGTGGTACCAATAGAATGGGTGCCGTATACCCGCCAAAGTCGAAACTGGCTTATGCTGGGCCCGTCATCCTCCGGCGCTCAGTTTAGGGCTCGGATTTAGCCGAGTTAGGCTTGCCCTGGCAACTGTCGGAAAACAACGAATACTTAATGCACTGCCTTGGTTCGACATTATTATTGAAAGCTTCCATGTCTTTGGATAATTTGGCATGTAGACGTCGTGGTACCCACAAATACTGTATTTACCTACTGATATCAACATCACCGGATATATATCCTGGATCATAAAGATTCCTTACCTATTTGGGAAATTTTCTAATTAAAGTAGGTACTTTACAATAACTGCAGCCGTACCTTTGAAGAGGGTTCCGGGAATTCATTCATTGAAGTTTGAGTGGGTTTGCATGCACGTTAAATCTTGGCCCAGTAATAGCCAGGAACAGATTTCGTCATTGGTACCTCGACAAAAACCTTTTCTCTGAGCGCAGGGATGGCCCCAAGGTGCGTAATTGTAACGTGGCTCAAAGGTTTCACCACTGAGCTTAATTACTGATCTAGGGTTATTAAAAAAATTCAGAATCAATTAACAGCAGTACTGCACTTTTCCTGATTCCATATACACAACTCAACTCAGCAGAGCTGCGTTGTCTTAGGTACCTTCTATAAAGAGGCCTACATATGCCAGTTCTCCCAGGTTTAAAAAAAAACAATTGTAGATACATGTAATTCCTAGGAGGGTAGGTGGTTTTGTTATTTGCCGGTGCGACAATGACGTCCTTGGAACTACCGGTCGAATTAAGCTCTAGAGGATCTTAGATCTGGGGAAAGGGTTACCTAAATAACAAGCTATGATATAGATACCGTGTAAGGTTAAAAGTAGTCGACAGGGAACGTTGTAAGAATTGAAACATTTTGACTTGTGTAATAATGTTCAATGGAAAGCTGGCTAGAACTAGAAGTTCTTAAGAAGAAATTATGATTACTAAACTGCGGAAAGATTGCAACTGAGCATGGTGGGACGCGCGACAGGAACTTTGAGTCTTTAACGGGAGGGTAGAGGCATATATAGATTTGAGTTTGGGACACTGGATGATAGATTTATGTCAACATGCCTCAATTGATAGATACACATATAGTGAGATAGATACACATATAGTGAGAGTCATGACACTTCTTTCCTTTTTTCCTTTTTCCTTTTTTATTTAATTCATTAATTGCATGCAACCTTACAGTTATGGCAATGAAAGTCATGACACTCAATCGTACAAACGTTATCAATGATGCCAGAAGGGTCGAGCTACACGAGTTAGAGGAAAATCGATACTCTGGATATTGGTTCTCTTTATTTGTCTCATTAGTATTCATAAAGACATTTCATTATCAGACCTTCCTAAAACTACAATTTACAACGAGTTGCGGCCACAACTCCCTTCCCCGCCCATAGATCACGGTCCAATTACTCCTCATCCTTCTCAGGCTTACGTCCATAGACGACATGGCTAGAGGTGTAAATTTTTAGCTTCTGTAACCAAAGTGGGTTCAATGATTGAAAGTTGACTTACTAGTTTTGATACACGTGCGTCTTTCTATCCACGAGTTGCTGTCTGCACTTTCCGCAGAAGGCCAGCACCTCTTCGCTTGACCATCTAGAATGTGAAGAAGCAATGTTAGTGTATATCCCCAGCATAAGTTGTCAATCGGTTGAACCGTAGTTATGAGTTGGAAGCTCGCCAGCTTAATGCCAAGAATTACTTGTAAGAAGCAAGCAAGCAGCCTACTACTACTATAGCTAGCCAAACCAACCAACTAACCAGCCACCACCACCACCACCACTAAGATTCCAGGAACCAGAACATACCCCAAAATCCGCGTAAACAGCGCCATAGTGAATCCTTCCAACCCCGTCAACGCGCTCAGCAGCGCATACTTCCCAATCTCTTTCACATTCGGATCCTTCGCCCACGGGCCCAGCGGGAGCTTAATAACCTTCTCATGAACGTCCTCAAAGCCTGCCTCGATCATCCAGGTCTTTGTGCGGTGCGCGATATGAGCCAGCTTCCCAAACTTTTCCGCCGCTTCCCCCATCTTATCGACCCATATGTCGATTGGTGAGCCACGCGGGAGTGTGCCGTCGTCGGAGAAGATCTGGAGCGTGGGTTCTTGCGATTCAAAGTATCCACCGGGCTTGGTTGCGCTAGTTGCGTTCAAGTTATATGTATGTTAGGGACGGGCCGACCCGGCGGGGGAGGGAAGGGGAAGGAAAGAAGAGGACTTACGTGTATGCTTTTCGGAAGAGCGTGGGCCAGTCGGTGACACAGGCGAGCATGTAGCGCATGTGGATGAAGTCGAACACGTTCGGGGGAACCGCCCATTCGCTCTCTAGGTCATCGACTTCGAACTGTAGGTTTGGAGGTACCCATGACGGCTGAATTGGTGAGAGGTCGTTACCGATGACCTGTGGAGTGAGTTAATATTATTGGCCTTTTTTTTCTTTTTCTTTTCATGGCATGATTGTTTACTAACCTGGGCGGAAGGATATGTATCCGCGCAATCAATGGCCCAGATCCCCGTTCCCGTACCGATGTCCAGGATCTTCTGCGGGTTGTCACCGATAGGTGCAAGATGGAGCTTCCCACCCATGGCGAGGGTGCAGTAGTGGTGGAAGATGTCTAACTGCTCATTCTGGGCCTCGTCGTTGGGACCATAGTAGGCACCTTCTTTGTAGGCGTGGTATCTTCTTCCATGCTCATATCTGGAGGCAAAGTATGAGTAGGTGTGCTTTGCTGGCCATGAGATATATTCTAGAGGCTGACGGTCAGGCGTCACTTACTTGTATTTTAGGACACTAGATTTTAGGGATGTTGTGGCGCTCTCTCTGGAAAATTGTTTGCGTCAATAATAATCGTATAAGCTACTATAAATGGTTTGAACTTACACTCCGCTAGAGTAGAGGGAATAGTCGTCAGTTGTGTTCCCGGAATCCACATCAAGATCAGGCAGCGCAGCGCTCGCAGCATTGGCATTGGGATTAGCTGATTCGGCCATCTCGTATATATATATCTTGAGTCGTTTATATATCTGAACGAAGAATAAGTGCGCAGGATCGGGGATTCCTCTTTTTTGAGAGATTTGGGAGACAGGGCAGAAATCAAAAATTGAACGACCAGCCTCGCACACTTAAGTAAATATACTTCCTCCTACCGTTACATTCTAAAGAGGAAGGAAGCGGGGTATAATTCCCCTAAAAAAAAAAGTCACAGTAAGTATGTATACTGCGAAGGTGTGAACATGGGGTGTAGAAAGGTACTACCGTTCCACATATCCGGTACAAAAGGAGCAGGCAATATGGCGAATCGGAATGTCGAAAAATATATGCCCGACCATATTATATTATACGAGCACTGACACCTTAACCGACATCCATTATGGAAACCGTTTTCCCTTCTCCACGTGTGCAGGAAGGAGATGTGCTCCCCTAGAGCACTAACTTTGTCTAGAGTAGCATGCAGTCCCTTACCACGCTTCGCCAGCTGGACCGTCCACCCGGCCACAACACATCAAAACATATGTCCTCCTTTAACTCACTGCGTAATCTCATGTCATATGGAGCCTAGGAATATAGATATACCGCCTCCAGGCAAACATCTCTTAGGCCTCCTTTTTGTTCCAGTAATTATCTCCGATTACTGCGGTTCTGCTGGTACTAGTTGGAGAAGTCTTGCTAGGGCCGTATGTAGGGGCAGAACTATATTGTACGAGAATCGACATGAGACTTGAAACCAACTCTGCGCTGAGACGCAAGCAGGGTGCTTTACATGTATGTACTCTAGGCACATGGCTCTATGCACAAATGTCTTGTGTGGATTTTCTGTGGAAAGCCAGGCTACATATATTAGCCAACCGCCATTTGTGTGTTAGTTATAATGCAAGAAAATTAACCCGAAAGCTACACATAAAAGAAGCAAAGAAAATAAATATTAGTTCCCGTTCCCGAGATCTCCGAGTAGTATTCTCCACATGAGAGGCGCACTTACTTTACGTGTGTTTGGACTTTGAACAATACATGTACTCAGGGTACATTGGTTCATGCCAGACATCGGAACAAGGGTCGAATGGATCATCGATGTATTGGGTAAAGTCCACATAAAGTGCCACGCAAATTATGCGTATGCGTGTGTAGAAGCTCAAAACCTCACCTGGGGTATTTCAACTAATTAGCTGCGCGGCTAATCGAGACGTCTCCCAGAGTTTAAATCTCTCTATTTGGCGTCAAAACTTCAGGGATCGGGCAGCCTATCTATGGGCTCTCGCGGATGTTTCAATACCGTCGTGTGCGTATGATCATTGAATATGTGTGATACCTACCTCAAGTAGGTATCGGGTCTGCAGGTTACTAATCTCCTTGAACGTATGTATTAAAAAAAAGTGAAAAGTGTGGGGGCAATCATAGACACCCTCCAGGATGGTGCGAGAAGTTACACGCAATGCATGAGCTTTTTACCGCTCGTTAAAACCCCGAGTATCCCAGACAGGAAAGAGCCGCGTTAAAAGAATTGTTTGTCATTCTTAGTTCCAGATCTCTATCTCTTCATTGCGGCGGAGATATCATTATCTGTTGCGTAGCATTTATGGATAATTGCAGAGATTTGCAGAAGTTTAAACGTAGCATAAACTTGGATGGTATCACCTCACTCAAGCACTCGACTATCGAGTCCCTTCTATTCCTGCAGAAATAACAGCCATCAGCTAATGATCTGTCGACTTGCTTTGTGAATTTTGATAGGTTTAGGTGTGAGAGAAACAGGCGAAGGAGGGAAGTACTACACATGCGGATGATCAAGGCAGAAACTCCGCCATACACGGCAAACAGGATCGAAAGCGTTAGATGCATGTCCAAATCGTAGACCAGGAGTTGTCGATATTAGGCGAGTACCTATGCTCACTCGCCTCTACTACGCTTATCACTACCGTATAGGCACGACTGGCTATAACGAAAGTTAGAAATATGTGCCTAAGGGAGGGCGGTCAGCTTAAAGGCCGCCATAATTTTATTCGACCAAGAGGGAAGAAACTACCCTCATACGTCCCGGAGGATTTCCTAGACAAGCAGGAAGTTGATTATGTATCAGCACCCTAATTACTGCAGATGCAGGAATCATGTTGTTTTCGGAGTAGAACCGAACGCTCGATGATAACTCATAAAACCCATGAACCGTAAACCTGGGGCGCGGTGAGCTGATGGGATAGTATCCTCACCCTGGCTTTTGAGAACCTGGTTCGGCAGTGTACCGAACCACTAGATCTGCATGTAATACAGCTGTCCATATGCAGAGTCCTCTAGAGTACTAGTATTTCGCTGACGTTTTTGAACTGGGCCATTATTGCATAACCCAAAATCATGAGCTTGGCGTATTTTTGTATGGCATGCAATATCAGTCGCGTCCACAAACGTCAGAGAAATACGAGTAGAGTAAAGTATACATATGTATTTACCCATCTCAGCTCCCGAATGCATGTACCTATGCATAGAAGGCACGGCCCCCTTCGTTGGCGGGTCTCTTGTGGATTCCTCTGAAGCCATCGAAAATGCTAGTGATTATCACCGATATTCAGGGACCGAGATTCTCGGTCTCTCAGGGTTGCTCCTTGAGGGATCTGGCTGAGACAATCAAAGTGATGGATGAACTTATAAGCTACAGTTGTTATTCTTTGATTACTTATGCCAGTACAACGAGAAAACTTCATATTAAACCGAGGAGAACACGTTGCGAAACAGGAGAGTTATCCAAAGCGAATCGTTGTATACCTTAAATTTCTCCAGAGCGCGAGATGAAGCAAAATCAAAGTCATGACTTTCAGTTCAGCCGGAATTAACGCGGATGCAGGCATTGAAGACACATAAGTACATGGACAAACCCAAAGACACATCTCTAAATTTAACATCTTCTCTTACATACGGATGTTAAGATCCGGGGGCAAGACACCCTGCATGAATGATAGTGATGTGACGCCCCAACCCCCAACATACAAGAAGGAAGACGGAGTTCTCCCAACTTTCTGGGAAAGCAGGCCAAATATTTCCGCACGTTACATGTACTCGGGGCTGTACCTTTGGAAGCAGGATGGTGTAAGACATGCGGTCTAACCCAACATTTAAGAGACATCTACAGCTAGAGTACATGTACTTAGACAACCTTACCAACAACTGCAACAACCATGAACAAAGGCTAACGGAGGCTATTATTTCCCCAGATTTCTTATTCTTGGACCATTCATTGTAAGGGTCTGTGTTCTTACCTTCGACCAAAAACACGACGCGCTTCGCAAATTCGTTAGACAGTGAGTGCTCTTCTCCATCACATGTATGTCTTTCTTGACTTTTTACGTACGCTATACCAAGTACGCTGTCTCAAAAAGCTTCCCCCAACGCTAAGGACTCACCCCACAAGACTGCGACTTACATCCGGACACACACCGGAAAAGCACCTTGCCTGTGGCTGGGAATACAAGGCGGGGAAGATCTTCATGAACCTGTCTTGATCTCAGATAACCTTTCTTCTTCTAGGCTCATCCCCAATCCTCTACTGTTTAATCCTGCCATGTCTCGCCAGATATATCAAACAGCAAATCGATTAATTTCACGGAATACCTTGGTGCAGATGATGTGGGGAGATGAGGTCATAGAGAACCACTGCGCCCCGCCCGCGCGCTCATGCCCACACGAGCTCCCCCCTAGCCAGTAGACCCAGTTTTACCATGGGTTTCAGGGAAAGGTTCGCCTACCCAGAGCCAGGCTGATCATGAGTGGGCTTCCTGAACATAACCCCCCTCCGCGAATTCGAGGGGCACGCTTCTAGTTCCCACGCTTGCTTTGATCGATATTTCATGCAGTCAGAGCTAGCGTCGCTAGTAAATTCAAAGGTATCTCGTGTCCTATCCTTGAGCGCGAGTTGGGGCAAATAAATACGGGTAGCCTAGTCCCCACAGAGCCGCTCTGTGTCCGAGTGACTATCCATGACCGTCTACGTCATACGGAATCACTCGATATAAACACCACCCACGCCAATATTGCGCAAGTGATAAGTGATACAAAGAGCCAGGCAAGGTGGCTATATGTGTGTACTTTGGAACATCCCTGAAACACTCCGCCATTGACCTGATATCATATCTCTATTCATTCCCAAGTGCATATATATGCAACTTGGCTGCCTCTCAAAGGTCCGTCCAATGCTTTCCCTAAAGGGCTGCTATAAAAGGCCGGCCCCTACCCATACACACAGTCCAAAATAACTACAAACATAAAGAATAGAAAAAACTTTTCCACATCACATCATCATAAATCACAATTACAGCCCACACGCATCCCACCAAATCTACCCACCGATCCAATCCAATCCAATCCAATTGCAGTGTTCATCATTAAAATATCCGCCGCCACCACCGCCACCCCGTCCCGCCCCTTCTCCCAAGTCTAGTTATCACAACCGCTTACAAAAAATAAAAATAAAAAAAGGTATACAATAAAGACAAAAAAACAAGTCCCAACGGCTCACTTCCCCTCCACCAGCCTGCCCCACAGCTCCCATGGCCCAGCCCGCTTCGTCGGTAACATGCTGTACTGCATGCTATATAAATTTCGGCGGTGGATGGGGGGAACGGACTGGCCGGTCATGAGGCAGAGGATGACGTGCGGGGAGACGTAGTGTCCCCGTATCCGCTGGCCGAGCTGGAAGTATTGGTGGAACATTGCGCGGAAGGGGAGGGGTGTGGACTGTTTTGTTTGGTTAGTGGAAGAAGGGATATATGAAGGGGAAGGGGGGCGTACTTTGAGGTGGATATAGGATATGGACGGGGCAGTATCAGAATTGTCGAATGCGGCGACGATGGCGCGCGTGTTCTTGAGCTCGAAGCGGATGCCACCGGGGAGGCGCTTGGAGTCTTTGACGCGCAGCATGAGTGCGAAGAGCGGGAAGTGGTTTAGGCATGCCAGAAGCGTTTCTAGCGTTGCTTTAAGCATTATAATGGCCATTCGCGCGCTTGCAAACGTGAGATAGAAGACTAGCACTGTTGGCAACAGGAATATCAGTAGTGTGAAGAGTATCGTCCCGATCAGTAGCTGGTCGAGATCGTAGTCGCAGCTATCAATTCGGTTGCGCAGCACGTTCCTTTTCTTGCCGCGGAAGAGGTGGAATAGTGATATGATGATGGACAGCTGCCAGTTGTAGATACGTGCTGATGCGATGTAGAAGGAGTATATATGCAGTGTTAATATAGAGAGTAGATCGGAGAATAGGGCTATGGGCATGGAAGCGCCAGCAAAGGATGAGAAGCCGATGGCGTATATAACGCGTGGGAGGTGTGGGCGGATACTAGTCATGGTGTCGGCCCAGTAGTCAATTACCCAGAGGAACAGATCGCCGAGGAAGGATCCGAGCTCTTGATTGAGTTTGAGACCACCGGGGAGGTTCATAAGCCAGGAGATCATGCCCTTCATGCCCTCAACGGTGTAGGCCTGTACATGAAGTGTTAACAGAGAGCGAGTGATGGGTAATGATTGGGATAACATACATGAAGATGGGAATCAATCTGGTGGGCTACGATGTGGGCGTTCTCTATGATGTAGGACCCTAAAGCAATCCCGATGATTACATCATTGGCGACTAGCCAAAGACTATTATAAAATCGGATATAATCCGGGTGCGAACTGGTGACGCTCTCCCAGTCTTTTTTCCGCCGTCGGAGCGTCACGTACTGTATGGGCCAATAGCAGAACTGCTGCAAACGTATATCAAATTGCTGCGCTATAGCACTCCCATAATCACTGTTCAGCGGCTATCCTCAACCCACGCCATACCAAATAACTGGCCAGGAAAAAACTCACCAGTCGCCGAGATATCCTTGAGCGCCGCCAGCTCCGGCCTCAGCCTCCACTCCAATACCTTCAATATGGTCTCTGCGACCAACCTCCATACCACAATCAACACAACAAAACAATTCGTCACCAGCGGCCACATGACCCAGACCGCCCTCATGAGCGCATCCAAAAAGCCCTTCCACAAGCCTGTTGCCCCTTCCACCACCCTCTCGCTCACGCTCAGCGCCCTCCTATTCCTCCTACCAATCAAGAGACTGATATTCTCCTTCAGCAGCACCCGCATCTCATGCGAGCAATTGACCTGGTCCACAATCATCTGCAAACTCCGCTCCTTCTCTGTCGGTTGCGGTCTCTTCACTGAGTGCAGGCGCAACTTCTGTACCAGTTCCTCGCGGCGCAGCCGCTCCCCCGTTTCGTCGGCCTCTCCCTCCATGTCCTCAGCGCGATCTTCGAGCGCCAGTGATATGGGCCGTAGAGAGAGGTACTGCATACGGTGCGGATGAGGGCGCTCGAACAAGATCACTTGGATTGCGATGCCGCTGGACGGCGGGCAGTGAATGCGCGGGTAGCGGCTAGACTTTTGCGTATAGGCGTAAATATGCGATGGGCCGAATTTCTGCGCTGATGCTGCAGGCTCGTTGACATTTCCGAGGACATGAAGGGCGCTCTGACCGCAGAGCTCAAAGAGACGGGTGGCGGAGTGAGGGGACTTGCGGTAGAGATTCGTCGAGGTGAGGTCGCGGCCAATTCGTCTGCTCTGTTTGCTCAATTCTATCAGCACCCATAGCCACCACTACTAGTACTACTGCGCCGGCGGCTAGAAACACAGGAAGACCCACATCGACGCCATTTAGCACGTCCACGACAAACACATCATGTTCTGAGTTGCGCCATCCCACCAGCACCCCCGGCTCGCTGCGGCGCGGAAAGTCAAGCGGCCAGAATATCCGCATCAACCCGTTCTCATTGCCGCTGGCCATAGTAGCCGCGCAGTGGTTAGTAAAAGCTCCCGCGCCGACGGAGCTGCTCGCGCGCCGAGATTGCGCTGCCGCTGCGTGTTTGCTGTGTGCATCTTGGTTAGCAGCTACCAAACCGGGGGAGAAAAGAGGGTGTAGAATCGACTACTAACTAGGCTTGTTTCCCGCGATGCGATGCGCTCGATGGGGATGAAGAAGAGAAAGAAAAATAGCGATAGTATGAGGAATCCTTTTGTTGCTCGACCCTGTACCGCACACACACAGACACCCCAGTTAGCCAAGTGGGTAGTGGGGAGAATAAGCTTCCAGCCAAGCCACGGGGGTGAGGAGTTGTCCGATGGATGGGAACGGGAGAAGGGAGTATTTACGACAACACCGTTGTCCCAAGCAAAGTATGCCAATTCAACCGCCTGTGTGATTAGAGAGAAGCGCGCAGTAATGTATCCGGCAATGAAAACCAAGATCGCCAATAGCCTTTTTTTGGTTGTTAGTTTCAATCTGGGTTGTGTGTTTGGCGCGAGCAAGTGGAATAGGAGGTAGGAATAGATAGGTATTACTGACAGAGGCCGCATGAACAGCAGCTATTCATGGAAGAACTGTGACCGAGTCGGGGGTGTAGAGAGCGCTCGCTGCTGCTGCTGTCGTTTTTTCTTGGGAGAGAAAATAAAAAAAGTAATTGTGCTGCTAGAGCTCTTGTGGAAACATCTATATCGTGGAGTGCAGATGGGGGGGAAAAGCTGTTGGCGTGGATGGGGGTTGGCTGGCTGGCAGACAGGTTCGATATGTATGGGTGAGTATGATGTATGGCAGGTAGATGACGCGCTGTGGGGGTTGCGAGGCGTTGAGGCTCTTGGGGGGGGGGGGGGGGGTGGGACAAGTTTTTTGTTGGTGGGAGAGTCTGGAGGGCTGGCGGCTGGTTGAGGTGTGTGTTGGGGGAGTATCGTATCCGTCGTAAGTGCAATAGATGCTTCTTGGATATGTGAATTGGGTACCTACACTCTATCTGAAGACTTGTGATAGCAAGGAGGAGAGGTCGAATCCAAGATCAAGGAGGGGGAGGGGGGGGGTAGGATGTAGGTTGTAGGTAGGTAGAGAAGATAGAGACAGACGACGTAGGTAGAGCAGAGAGAGCACACAGGCACATGTAAGTCAAGCAGATACGTATGTAGGCGTGCGTGCGTGTAGGGAAAGATTTAATTTCGCGTCAGCATCCAACCCAGCCCTATGGATCCTGGCACGTTCTAAAATATTATCTCCCACCCTTAATTCTGACTTCTGCGCTACCTACCAGGGCTTGCTCTGTGATTACTACTGCCTGTATCAAATACCCAACAACTACATGTACTACTACTGCTACTTCTTCCCGTATACCAAAACAATAAAATATATCCTAATCCATCGTCTGCTAATCTCACTTACTGCCTTCTCTCTCTCCCCTTTCTCCCATGAGAGAATTCTTCCAAGGACACGTTGCAATGCTCGTTCCCCGTCCATCCATGGAGTTTCCCTTCAAGCTCGGGCGTCTGTGGCTGATGCTGTGGAGACCTCTGTGTGGCAGTACGCGGGAAGTCCCGCTGTAGTAAAGTTCGGATAGAAACAAAGAAAGAAAAAAAACTCTCCAAACAGTCATTTCTCGTATACACCTTGACCCACAGCCAAAGAAAAATATTGTCTCATCCACCACTACATAACAACAATACCAAAAACCTGTCGTAGGTTCAGGTGCTTTGTGTGTCAATTCTCTAGTCAAATCCGCAATCGAGAATACATCGGAAAGCGGGTCGTTATATACCTACCTACCCAGGTACTGGAGTGGTAATGACAACTCTGCGGCTCAACAGCTCACAAACTCTCTTACGACTCATCCGTCTTCAGCGCACCACTCGCACCACCCTCATACTCCCCCACGTACACCGCCGAAATTTCAACATCACTGCGCTCGAAGCTAAACGTCTAGCCATGGAGAAGCAGCGGGAACAGCTCTACTCAAAGTGGTCGCACTCTGAGCTCATCACTCGCATCCTCGAACTAGAAAAGTCACAGGAAAAGTAAGTAAGTCCCTCCCCCATCAGACCTTTCTGGTATCGAGAACCCTCTGGTGCTCTTTGAACTAACACATCCCTCAGAGTAAAACAGGTTCAGCCTCGAAAAGCCAAAAAGACATTCGACTCTTCAGCCTATTCAACACGCCATATCGCACTCAAGATCGCCTACCTTGGTGCAAACTACGGAGGTTTCGAGTACCATGCTAATAACCCGTTCAGCACTCCTACAGTTGAGGAGCAGATTTTTAAGGCGCTGCTCAAGGGGCGATTAGTCCCACACAATGGGCTACCTGGAGAGGAGGAAACAGTTTTAGGCTGGCCTGGAGATGAGGCGGTGGAGTACTCCAAATGCGGGCGCACTGACAAGGGAGTTTCAGCATTCGGTCAGGTCATTGGTGTGCGTGTGCGCAGTAACAGACCACTCCCCGCAGCTCCCCGCTCCCCGCCCGCTGAAACCACCGAGGACCCCGCCGCAGCCACCCTGGACGATAGTTTCGGTGCCGACCTAACCGCCGAGGCTAACGAGCCCAGCACCCCTGAATTTTCTGACGCTGACGAGCTCCTCTATCCACAAATTCTCAACCGGCTTCTTCCGCCCGATATTCGGGTCCTTGCTTGGTGCCCCAATCCCCCGGAAGGCTTCAGCGCCCGCTTCAATTGTGAGGAGCGCCGCTACCGCTATTTCTTCACCAACCCTCCAATCCCTCCAGGGACTGCTGGAACAACCCAGGAAAGCATCCACCTCGATATCGACAAGATGCGAGAGGCCGCGGCGCTGTATGTTGGTGATCACGACTTTAGAAATTTCTGTAAAATCGACGCTAGCAAGCAGATCAGCCGGTTTGATCGCATTATCCGTCACGCTTCCATAAATGAGGTCGTCCCGCAAGCACCAACGTTTGGCGCTGCTTCCGGCGCTACTACTGAGGCGGCGGAAACAGGGCGCCCAAAAACCTTCTACTTCGAGCTGCATGGATCCGCGTTCCTATGGCATCAGGTTCGCCACATGGTAGCAATGCTATTTCTTGTAGGACAGGGACTAGAGGAACCATCAATTATCACGCAACTTCTAGATACAAAAACTAACCCTTGCAAGCCCCACTATGAGATGGCAAACGACCGCTGCCTTGTATTATGGGATTGTATATTTCCTGAGGGAATGTTAAAGTGGGAATATGAGAGCAAAGCGGAGCTCACTGGGGATGTGTGGAAAATCTGGCACAAGGCTGCTGTGGACGAGGTGTTGGCAGGAGGTCTGCTGGACGTTATCGCTGCTGGTGGCGGGGTCGGGGTTACTAGTAGGGAGCTGAAGGGCTCGAAAAAGAGTCAAGTGATTGTGGATGGTGGGCACGCTGCCCTGCTGAGGGGCAAGTATATGCCTGTGATGAAGAGAAAAAGAATGGAAGAGGTGGAAGTGATCAATAAAAGATACGTGGATAAGAAAGGTGATTGGATGGAAAACAGAAATAGGAGAGTTGAGGCGAGAAAGGCGAAAGCAAAAGAAAGAGAGGAGGAAAACGAGCTCGTGGAAGAAACGGTCAAAGAGTAGGTGTTGGTGCAGATGAGCACCGGCTAGATTAGAGGCCAGTTAATACCAATGTTCAGCGCGCCGCGATGATCTATGCTAGTGCGTCCCGAGTGATTGTTCTCGACAATGGAGTCACAGACTATCACTCGATTCTAGCCTTGCCCCTCCCCCCACCACGGCATACCCCTCCTACCAGAACCTACACCAATACCTGTTTTGCGCATATCTATCTCGTATCAGAATCACACGTTCTATCATCCCATCACACCATCAAGCCCTCCCTGCGCACGCTACTGGTGTTTCTTTTGTATCCGAGACAACCTCACCTTCCAGAGCACTATCTCAGTATCCCCCGGCCCCCACCAATAGATACAACTTTATGATCATCGAAACCTCGGGCATACACCAAGGCATTCAGGTATACGTAGTCTATCTCCGAAGAAGATTTCCAAAGAGTTAATAATTTTATCGATACATGATTCGCTGTTTTTCTGTAGTCGCCATTCTTCAAAACTCGTATCTGCCTTGTGCAGCCCTGGCTAATTCGTTCGAATACAACAGCACATCATATGTATGTACATACCAAGCCGGAATACCCAGCCTCTCCACGTACATAGGCTGGCAAACGTCACGAAGTAGATATGGTAGTCCATTATTTGTTGCTAAGTAATTAAGTGATCGATGTTTTTAACTTGTCCGTTAGTTATATGCGCGTGATAGGTGAGCCATGGCGTGCGACTGCGGCTGTCCCTATGACTGGATCGTAAGGGCCAATCGAGAGCCACCAAGATGTGCTGATAGGGAGAATTATATACTTCAGGGGCTTCGGGCAAGACATATTGGCGTCCTAGTAGTTTGATCATGCCAAGTGCAGATCTGCACCATGACTGCCCAGCATTCGTACTGCCTACAAAACATAATGGGGGGGGGGAGAAACTTTCCTTCAGGCTTGAAAAAAACTTTAAATCCACTCCGGTACGGAGACGACTGCGCCCATCTACGTTCGCGATATCTAGGGGGTTAAGAGTATCAACTGAGATGATCCACGGCGACTTTCAAATATCACTAGCACAGCCGATAAGTGCGTGAATGCCAATCCGGCTAGCGGGTAGCATAGAGATGAGCTGGGCTACCAAAGATGGTTAATTACCCAGAATAGCACAATTACAATTTCAATCCAGACTTTTTTTTGCCCTTCACTCACGAAGGCTGGGATTCTGACACAGATCACCCTACATGCAGATTCAGTGCATTATGAAAATATCGCCATTTCATGAGTACCTACATCATACACTCATTCATGTACTCGTATTTCTCTGACGTTTGTGGACGCGACTGATATTGCATGCCATACAAAAATACGCCAAGCTCATGATTTTGGGTGTATGCAATAATGGCCCAGTTCAAAAACGTCAGCGAAATACTAGTAGGTATGTAGGTAGAGTTCTGCAAGGAGTCCTACATGTAGCTAGAGCACGTGGCGATGATTAATATTGGTTTTTAAGCTTTGGATCCCCATGCCGTAGAATATGGGGTGAGTGTTTTAGCCTTTAAACCTGAATTATGTAGTTATGCCATGCGCCAGCCCAGGCCATGGGACTGGAATCGAGGAATTGATCGAGTACGATCCTGCGCATAGGAAGATTGAACCGGCGAGAAAGAAAGAGGAAACACAATTCATTACCCCCTCTCCCCTCCCCTCCATGAGAAAAAAAGTAGATGTTGCAGCGCAGTTCGTGCGTTGGCATTAATTGGCCGCCGGGACATGGCAGCAGGAAGCAAAAAAAACCCTGCCCAGTTTTTCCAAAAGGCCTCCTCAGTGCCATCGAGAATTTCAGGTATGGGTGTGAATTTTTACCCCGTGTTAACATATCGAGTGCTATTATCACTAGACGAATCTGTGGATGAGGGGGAAATATCCACTTTCTCACGCCATCACGAATTGCGTCGTCGGTACTGTCTGTTAGTGACCTGCGGTGTACCTTCTTTTTGCTTTTTTCTATTGGGCGGTTGCGCATGCGCCAACCCCCAGTCAGGAACGACCTGGTTGGTTGATCAGTTGAGGTCAGCACTGAGTGGTAATCATGTGCTCTGCCCTGCCTTGTTTCACTCAGTTTACTCTGGGAGGCAGTTCGGTTTGGCTCGCTTGGTATGTACTGTTGGTGAAGATCTACAGTGCAGTAGGTAGAGTAGACATGATGGACTGTGCTTTGTGCTGTGCACCAGGCAGCGCAGTGAGTGAATGTTCGTTGTTTTAATTTTCCGATGCTTCCATCTAATCCCGCGAGGTATGGGAGGTATTGAGGTAATGCTTCGGTCAAGATCACGATCCGTCAATAGAGGAGTTTCAAGCTAGACAGTAAGCAATCAATGCCCCTGGACAATGCGTCAAGATTGGAAATCACAATCGCACTGAGGTGAGCTTGATAAAGGAGAGCTTGGTAAAGGATAAAGGATGAGGGGAATCCACCCCACCTGCACAACTCAAGCCCTACATATACAGAAACAGAGAGACAGAGAACCAAGTCAGACCAAAAGAGACCTAGAGACAAAAACAGAAACATTAAAAACCAACATTATTAGCGACAATCACAGGCATCATCCCCTCCCGAGAATCAGAATAAGCAAGCAGATCAGGACATCGGCGCCAACGCACCGCGGAGCGAAGAGTACTTAAGTAGAGTGATAGTGCTCCTAGTTAGCTGTCAGTCAACTCCATCTGTCGCAGCCATTGGATCTCTTCGAGCTCTTTTCTCGTCTCCCTGGTAAGTCTCCCTCCTTGCATGATAAATCAGTAGAGGAAGCCCTTTTTCGGGTTCCTGTTCCGCCGTTAGGCCAAGCACATCGATAAGCAAGGAAGGAGCATCCCTCAGCCCTAACATCCAGCTAACGTTGAAGGATAAGGTCTCAACCGATTCCCGCGGCGTTACCGAGCCTACCCTTAACTACCCTACCCACCGGGCACTACCGACACTCACTACCCTCGAGAAACTATTTTGACAACACACCCCCGACTATCCAACTACAGCCAATTGATTAGCAATCCAAATAAACAACAACTTACTACTACCATCTGTAACAACTATCACCATGGGCAAGCCAAGAGTAAGATTCTCTACTCAAATACCTATTTAATTGATTAGTAGCTAACCAGGGCCCCTCTCGGTGGCAACAGCTCATCATCCTCGTCCGCCATGCCCAGAGCGAGGGAAATAGTATGTCTTCTCCCCCGCCAAAATCCCCTCGTCAGCTACTAATTCCCTCTCTAGAGAACCGTGCAATTCACCAAACTGTTCCCGACCACCGTGTGAAGCTCACCAAAGAAGGTAACCGCCAGGTACGTACCTCCCATGCCCCCCACTTTAACCCCACTTTAACCCCACTAATCTCCTCCAGGCCCTCGAAGCTGGTGACCGCCTCCTCAAGCTCCTCCGTCCCGAAGACACCGTCCAGATCATCACCTCGCCCTACACACGAACCCGTGAGACCACCGCTGGTATCGTCCAATCCCTGACACCCCACCCCAACAGCAGCACCATCAAAGTCTACGAAGAGCCTCGCATCCGTGAGCAAGACTTCGGTAACTTTCAACCATGCAGCGAGGAGATGGAACGGATGTGGCACGAGCGTGCAGCCTACGGGCACTTCTTCTACCGGATTCCGAATGGTGAGAGCGCCGCGGATGCATATGATCGGGTCTCGGGGTTCAATGAGAGTCTTTGGCGACAGTTTGCGGAGGATGACTTTCCGAGTGTGCTTGTGCTTGTCACTCACGGGCTTATGACCAGGATCTTCCTGATGAAATGGTTTGTTTGCGCCTTTCTTTTGGTGCTGTGTTAGTGCTAATTGAGTGAAAAGGTACCATTACTCTGTCGAGCACTTTGAGGACCTTCGCAATGTCAACCACTGCGAGTTCGTACTGATGGAGAAGGACCCCCAAACCGACAAATACATCCTGCAGAACACGTTACGTACATGGTCCGCCTACCGCAAAGAGCAGGAAGAAAAGCGCGCCAAGGAGGTACCCCTAGAGATCAAGAAGCTCGAGGCCGCCATGGCCGCCCGTCTGACCTATGGCGGCTGCGTCAACGGGTGCAACCACCCCAAGAATGGATTCTCGTCCAAGGAAGTCACCGCCCAGACGCTGCGAGACAAGCTCAAAGTCATTGAGGCCGGGCGCGACTTTGGGGGCAGCCGCAGTGGCGCTGGGAGCAGGGTATGCAGTGATGATGAAGCGAGTGGCGGCGAAGAGGAGCGCCCACTGATAGAGGGTGTCGGCGGCGGGTATAAAGGTCGGGGTGGCGGACACAGCGGCGAGCCCAGCAACGTGATAGAAGATATAGTGATGCAGGACCAAGTGGTGGTGAGCAACGGTAGTGGGGTTAAGTTGTAATGTCTGTATGTGTACGTCTGTACGTCTCTGTGTTAGCGACTTTGTGTGGGTTCATGTTTTAACGGAGGGTGAATCATCGGCGTTTTACTCGTTTTTCTCCTATTAATTCTTTCTCCTTTTTTTTTTTTTTTCTCCCCTTAGGTTTATACATGCTAAGATTTCAGGTGCCTCGCGGCTGTCTTTACACTCTTTTTTGGACTTTGGATCTTTTCTTTGTGTGTTTCTTTACTTTTCTTTTGTCTGGTTGGATGGTTTCCTGTTGTATTATAGGGGAGAACAAAAAAAAATACCGAAACTGATTTTGCCTCATCAGATATCACTCGCATTATATATTAAACTGAGCTACACCAATCCACTACACATAGGAATCCGGTAAGAGTACTCTCATCAAACAAGAATTGGGGATTCCATCACCCCCGAACATGTGGACTGTTATTACTATCATTCAGAGAGTTTCATATCGCTCCTGAGACCGGAGATTCGCGCGGCGGATCCTTCGTCTTAATCCCAAGCCTTTTTCTCATAGCGGTAAGTGCTGGTGAAAGCAGTGCAGTTGCACCCTTGGGATACGCACCCTATCAGGGTTAGTCTACCCTGGTTTTCGTAAACCGAATGGCCCTCAAGTCTTCCCTTCTGGAATCTGCATCATAGAATATCACTCGTTATTTATAGGTGTATTACGGAGGAGAACACCCAATTGGTATATGCATGTGCACATACTTCATCTGTTTTGTGTGCTGTTCATTGCAGTAATCAAACACAGGATGCTCATGGCTGCCTTGTACACGTACGCATCAGCCCATGAATGGAATGTGATGAGTGCCATGAGGTCCTTAGGCCAGCCACCACAAAGGTTGGAGTGACGGCAACAGAATCCGTTCCTATCTCTGATCGGGAGTCTTGCGCTAACGATGTGGCTTCGGAATCTTGTCCAGTGGATGGGACTAGGGGGTGGCTGAATGGCTCAGTTAGCGGCATACCCGTATAACAGCTGCCGTAGTTTCAGCGGTGCAGCTGACGATCAACCACGAGGCACAAGAGATGTACCGAAGGACCAAGGCACCGAATGCTGATTGGGAATTTCTGTCGCTTTGATGGGAAAATTTGTATAAGGGCGAAAATTCTGTGGTTGATTTACGGAGGAGGCCTCTCCTAAGCCCTCACCTGCATCCCACCTCTAAAGACTACTAGCTAGCAATGACTTAGGAGACATGAATGCAATGAGGAAGCCAAGGATCTCATCTTCTCCTCGCTTCAACAGCTACTGAGTACTACATGTATCTACCCCCGATTGCAAGAGCGCCTGTCTGGGTGTCCTACAGCCCTGTTCTTAATATGCCGTAGTAAGCCTGCAAGGGCGGGATTTCAAAATTACGAGTCTCTTTCTTAGCATTATAACGTTAAGTTACGCTCGTTATGTGCAAACGAGTGAGTCGGCATACTATTGCACCACGTCATTGGTGTTGTTGTGGACATTCGTCATTCTTAGTTGGCTGGCCTGTATAGTTTGGACGTTGTTCTAGATAACAGTCATATGCATACGTATGTTGTTTTAAAGAACACTTAATTGTTCTTGGTTTTATTTCTATACGGGAATCTCGCTCCTTCTTTCTTTATTCTTCAAGTCAGCCAGCATTACAATCCGATTCTTCGGTTATCTCCTATCTAGACTCCTTAGTCTTACAGACCCCCACCAGTACGTGGGGTCGACATATTTCAGGGCTAGGGTTCCTGTCGGGACATATCATGCATCTTCAGCTCACACATCTCGATCCACCACGCCCATCAGAAGCAATGATGTTACGTACCAGCTTCCATTAGCAAATCTGGGGGACCACACGTGGCACGAACTTTTAGGGCTACGGCTGACTTCGGAGGATTCCAATGATAGAAAGGTGAGATATTCAATCACATGGGCACTTTGGTAGCAGTGTGGTAAGACAGAGGGTGCACCATTAATATGATGATCATGAGTTGTATCAATGCGAGCTTACCTGTCAGCTGAAGTATGTAACCGAAGGGGCTTGAATACATATCTCGAGCCCTCCTCCTCTTCCACACGGGCTGATAAAGATCAGCCTTGTTGTGTCGTGGCGGTCCGTGATGGTACGAGAGGAGCTCAGGGAGGATCTAAATGGGCGGATCGAAGTTCTGCACCCCCATTGAGAGTGTCGCCGACCTTGAACTCAGTGCAGTTGTGTATCTTTAGGCCTTGCAAGAGTGCAAGAGGCTTTACTTTCTACTCTATGTAGGGCACCCGATTGAGTCCGGTTCCGCGGCCAGGGCTTTGTTATCCTCAAAGACCTGAAAAATAAAAGACCTTTTCTGATGTTTAAATTTAGACAGTCAATTCTATACTCACGGAAGCTTTCCGTCGATGGATAGACCCCCCACAATCTCAAGACCTACAGGAAGACTTGTCTTACGAATTGACATTTCAAGTCCCGGGCGCCCGCTCTCGGGAAAAGGTTTCAAGACATCTCGTCTCCTGCCGCACGTCGTGATCAGTGCCCATGAGCACAGGGCAACGGGACTGCATGGATACCGGTCCCCAAGCTTATCCCAACAACTTACAGATCACCACATAATGAAACCCGAATCGGTTTAGTTCCAAGGCAAGGTTCAAATAGAGTTCCTTGCCTGGGCCACTTTATAACACGGTTCAATATTGCCTTCTAGAATTGCTCGGAGATTCTAGATGTTTTTCGGTTGCCTGCCGAGAAATCTGGAACAGGTTCTCATTGGAAAAGAAGCAAATCTTTACCGGGTAACCCTTTTAGGTTTTAATTACCGAGTGAGACCTCATGATCGGTAAACAAGCATAGGGCGCTCAGCGACCCAATTAAGAATGTCATATCCGAGAGATACTTAGGGCGTGTATCGTGTGTCTCTTCCCATATCAAATATTCCGACAGGTTCATGCCATGTAGGTACATGTTGGAGTAAGTCGTGAGATCCAGGTACACGACTTTGTTTGGTGAGCCAATCAGTAGAATATGTTTGAGATGCTGGAGCTAGTGGATACCGTGCCAAAGAGACTCTTGACATGAACTGAGCACTTGCCTATTATAACTCATTATCTTCTTGTCTTTGATACCTCAGAGGGCTCTGATCTGATCTTGGTATGTTATATGTGTATCTCCCGGTATGATTGGCTGAGTTTTGGTTAATCTTTGATGAACATGCCGTGTTTCTAGCTGTTCATTAATTTCCTCATATGTTTATTTTCGATAGATCTGATCCAGATCTCGATCGTGCTTCCTCGATAGAGTACGCATCACCGCGTCTACCGCATAATCAAACATAAAATATCCAAACAAACGTTGGCGGGGTAGATTATGTGCCAAGATTGTTTGGATCCAAGTGTAGAAAGCTCGACTTAGCTTTGTTGCCTGACGTTGGCCCTGACTTGACTGATTTCTTCTCGGAACGCAAGCCGGCGCCCAGAGATCGTGTGAGCTAGGTTATCTAACTAGCCAAAGATGTATTTTCCGCACTCGAATGATCGGGTCTAGAGTAAGGCGTAGGAGAGAGAAAAAAATCTCATTCGTTCGCTTGAATGTTTCCCAGGGAGGGTGGTTTGACAATGTCAGTTGTGGAGCGGGGTTACGCGATTGAGTTTTCACATCTTGGAACTTTCAAAAGACGATTACACACAGCAGTATTGTGGAGCTTGAGCTGTCAACGTGGTGGTCCATTTGGGGGTGGATTTAGAACCGGACTGGGGGTTTCAAACCGGTCCAGGACCCTCTCGAAGCGCCCCGGGAGAGGTGTCAAGCCAAACAATCACTTTGATGCGGCCAACCGGGTTCACGCTTACGCTGGGATGACCCAATTGACAAACGGCGTCGGGTTGGGGAAACACCATGTATGTACGTCAAGTGTGTGAGTAGAGTACCGGTAGAGTATGTACGATTCCATCTGTGCGCCTAACGAGAGAGGGGGGGTCAATAGGATGCGTTGTTAAACTGCAGACATGAGACCTGTGGCTGGCTGGGCCATTGGGAATAAATACCATCAAAGCGTAACCTCTTCTACAAGCCCTCCTACCTAATCTACTTTACTGCACCTACATGCCATGCGATATCTTCAAGTATTAATAAGGCCGTCCTATATCATTCGATCGATAGTACGTTGCTCAATATCGATTTAGACACGCGCCTTGTACATATGTAGACTTTCTGTCATGTCTATGCTGTTCTCCTTCTACGATCAGGAGTCTTCTTCGCCAGAATCAGAGGATGAAGAAATGGGGGGTGCAGAGCTCTATGATGAAGATGTCGAGGGGACGTTTTACTACGACTATGACGAGTCGAGACCAAGCACTCCAGGTCTCCCAGAACTAGAACCGTTACCGCCAGCAATAGACCGGATTCCGTTCGAGCTGTGGGAGTTGATATTTGGATTTGTGGCACCGGGCCTGAGAGATGATGGATATCCGCCGCTGAAGAATCTGTTGAACTGTGCCTTGACTTGCAGAGTTAGTTTGCACTTTTTTTTGTATGCAATAGGATATTTGCGAATTTCTGGCTAACTAGGGAATATTCGACAGCTTTGGTCATATACAGCAATTCCGATGCTGTACAAAACGCATGGCTATGGCGTCTTCATGCCAGACTCCTCAAATCGAGACCTTGGTTCAACATATTTCCCGCTCTCGCGAAAAGTGGATTTCTTCAGCACCACGGCCGACCGAAGGATGATGAAGCTCTGGCGTACGCTCCTGCTCTCGTGCTTCACCGTCTCATCGAGCACAGAATCCGCAGACGCAACGCTGTATCCATACATCAACTATGTCACCCACCTCGATGCACGGACCTTGGTTATGGTTTTGACGGAGATCATGAAATCGCAGCGAGCTGTGGGCGTGAAGACGGCGCTTGGTTCCAGGGCCCCTGAGTACTTTTTCGGCGGGCTTTTGGGGGGTTTGGAAATAGCGGGGGCGTCGAGGGGGGATAGGATGATTGTTGGCGGATCCGAGTATGACTCCAAAAGCCCTGTTTACGGGAAAGATGTGAAGATTTTCGTTGGAGATACGGCTTTGATGATTATGGATTGTGGGTGAATCCTTTTTTGCACTTTGGCTAATAATTTTTACAGATGAGAGATACTGACAGTTTTTTTTTCTCCCGAATTCCAGTCCTATATCCCCATATCCATCATCTCAAGGGCTTCACAATCCCGGAATTGGGCCAGCTGCGAACTCTCGATCCGGTCCGGATGTCGCACCCCATATCGCTCATATGTTCCCTTGAAAACTTGTCCCGCTTGGTTATCTCATCCGGCTGGATGGTTTGCCCCGAGCTCGGGAAAGCCATAGCTTCAATCCGGCCCACACTGGTAAATCGCAGCTTCTCACGCCCCGGAAGACAAAAGGTCAAAGCAGACACCTTCTGCCTAACAATCCTCGACTGGCGCTTCAAGACGCACTATGATCCCATCTATAGCCACAACGAGGACTGGAAAAGCGATCGGTCAGATTCCAACTGGTCTGTAGGAACCCTGGAAAGGTTCTTTGATTGCCTGAACCCGAACTCTGTAACCTCATTGGATCTAGATTTCAACATACAGTACTCGCGGCTCCCCGGGAAGGAACCTGGAAGCGTCCCCTTTGCGATTCGCCAGAGTGGGAGCTTCAAAGCGCTGAGGCTGGCAAGGATGAGCTGCGGCGCCTTCAAGCTCTGGCGGATGCTGGTTGACATGGGTGCCGCTGGATTTGTACCCCAGGCACTGAAGCTAGTCGACCTTATCATGGAAGATAGCGCCACAGAAAGCAAGGTGTTTGCTGGATGGAACTTCGCACCCCAGTTTTGGCGGGATCTCCGCACAGTGGAGTTCTCAAAGTTCAACGGGATGTTCGGGCTTGTTTCGGCGGCAGCGGAGGCCAAGAGCATAAACAGCTTTGACGATACCCGCTCAAGATGTTCTTACACATACAACACCCTGGAACTTGAAGAGCTGTCGCTTTCCTGGGAGGATAAACATCTGGGCGCAGAGAAGACATACATGCACTTCTTCACCAATATCCTCCCTTCACTCGGAGCTGGCCTAACGAGCTTAAAGCTCATAGATACAGACCTCAGCATGGGATCCCGGGCCAGACGCGGGGCAATCCGATACCCACGCAGTACAGTGCTCTCCCGCTCCCCCCTTGAAAGCTTAACAAAGCTTCAAACCCTCGTCCTCACCGGCGACGTGTCAGTCTGGCTTCTCTCCGACCGCACCCGCGACGTCATGCGCGCCATGCGCAACACAATCACCAGCGCCGACATCTGCCTCTCCACCAAGGACCTGCGCGACTCGAACCTCTCAAAGATCTTTAGCCCCTGCGAGAAGCTGGAACGCCTCATCATCAGAGCATGGGACAAGATTGTGCAAGTCGCACACAACAACCAGAACCCCCAGACCCAGCGGGATGCGGACTCTGGCCTGTGGATCGAATATCCGCCGCTCCTCACAAACGCGCGGTACTCGCACACGTCGCTGTGGCCCGTGTGTCCGAAGCTCACCGCCCAGGGCGTCAGGCACTACTTGAAGAAGTGCAAGCGGCGGCCCGAGCCAGCTTCGTCGCGCGCCGTGTTAAGAGAGTTTGCCTTCTCGCGGGCGTTTTGCAGCGATGCCTCGCCAAAGTCGTGGACTGAGGTGAGGGACCTGATGCGGCATAGAGGGGGGAAGTTCTTGCCGAAGCTGGATACGGGTGGCTCGAGGGAACATAAGCATTGGGATGAGGGTGTACCTTTGCCGGAATGAATGGGATTTTTCTCTTTTTTTTTATACGACATTTACGAATTTTCGACCTTGCCTTGCGAATTGTATAATGCACCATTAGTATACTGTAAATACCTATAGCTACCCTATACATACATAGAACGACACACTCTCCGGCGGTGGGGATCTAATCACCTAATTTCTTTAAAAATTTCTTGTATATAGAAATCCTTTTTTTTAGCTCCTTCTTCTTTGCTGGTTATTTTTGGATTACTTTACGTACGGGTTTTTCGATTGGGAGTTTTTGCATTTTTTTCTTTCCTCCCCGCGGGGAAAAGCCTAGAAGATGACCGCGTTAGTCTTTACCAAATTATTTTCTCCTCGTGCCTCTTCTTTTTCCGTGTTGTGCAATGTAGAGCGAGAGGCCCCATCCATATCATCGTAGGCGGTGTGGTTAGAGCAACTGTCGAATAATTACATGGGGAGCCCTAGTTACACGTAGTAGAGCTAGGTGTTGTGCATCATGCCAATATCCATGTGGTGTGGTGCGATATGTAGGATTGACAAAGAGAACAGATGTCTCGTCCCACGATATGAATCAAGCCATCAGAAGCGAAGAAATACGGGGGGTATGCAGTGTAACTTTTCCTCGCGTAAGAAGAAGATGAAGTTTGTTGAAAGCGTGTATCTCACTGACGTCTCCGACGTTGACATAAACTCTCCGGTGCATATAGGTTAGGTTAGCCCTAATCCGGGGGGTTGCTATGCGGTATTGTTTGCGTCACCACCTATCACTCATCTAGATTCCTCGATTCACCTCGATCGAAATAAGCGGTGTCTAGCGTCCAGAAACCGCGCATAAATAGGCGGCCAACCACATCCCAATTTCAATTCAGCAGCAACCAGCTCACAGCACCGGCCCACTTCTCGTCGGGAACCCCAACCCACCCCCCGTCTCCTATGGTTGATCCAACAGAGAAGGGGTTACAATAGGTGGGTATGGGATTCCCCCAACTACGCTGTTTAGGCGACCCTGTTGCTCAAACTTGACACCTGCTCGACACATCATGGGCGGCTACTATATAGTATTTCAACATGCTGCGAAGCCCCCCCCCCCCCATGTGTCGCCCCCCCGGTGTCACACCCCCAATATCATCCGTCTGGCTCTCTTTTGCCTTTTTTTGGCAACCGCCGGCGTGTGGAAAAACAAAAAGGTAATGGACGAAGTGGCCCTTTTTGTTTTTGCCAGCGCTGTATATATGTAGCAGCCGGATGATTTACGTGCGGGTGCCAATCCAATTGTTTATTCGATCGGGCCCCCTCCGTCCTCCTCCCATCCGCCACCAGATACCGGCTCTTTCGACCGGAAAGTTCTATGTTCTATCTTATCCCCCACCTGGCTGTCCTCAACTCTAGCTGTGGGAATAAGTGGACATTGCCTGTCGTAGAGCTTCCTGAAGGATGGGGTGCGAGGACCGACCGTCGCGAAGGTTTCCACTCAACCCTTACGCCCCCACGCCCTATAACGACCTACGCCAGGGTCGTCGAACTGTTCACCGAGACCGCTGAGTATTGGTGTGTACGGAGCCTATTCACATGGCGGTGAGCCCCCGACTTGGCCCTAACTAATTCATTTCCCCCAACAGTTCACTAACCCCGCCCTAGGTCTCGGAAGATCAAACCTTCCAAGAACGTTAGGTGAATTGGCTGGCACAGATCGGTGTGGACGACCTCGTCTTCCCGGGTGCTGTGTGCACCAGTATTGGGGAAGGTCGGTTTGTTCTCTGAGAGATTTTCGAGCTGTAGCATATATATTGCCACTCGCCGAGCAGTTGACAAAACCGAGAATGTTGACTATTCGTTCGAGTGCCTATATAGATATATGCCTACTGTCTCTCATAGCAAATCGCCGAGTTCACTCCATTATGCGGGGGAGGAGGCGATATTCACGTGCACATGCCCGTGAGGATACCTGTCAATATCGCCTCAGTACTCAAGAATCGAGCTGGATAAAACTAATCTTGTCCCTGATCAGTTCAAGAAAGGAAATTATCCATCGACCTTGAGCACCCCCGCATATCCCCTAACACCCTCTATTCCTCTAGTTGTCCGCGAGGTGATTCAGAGCACTCATTGTTCCTCTCTGGAAAAAAAACAAATTTTTAGCTGTGGTACATGTGACATCTATGCCGCTCTGTTCATAGATGTATATGCGTGTATTTCATCGGCGGAAACTGTACCTTTCCCCGCGTGGACCTGTATATAGCCCCTCCAGATCATCCTCACACCAACTAGACGCGTATTGCAGTACAGCGAACAATTGGGGGTACCCAGTACTCGCGCCATTAACCTGGCCGTGAGGTGATACGGAGCCAACATTATTTTTCTCGGGGAAAAAAGGAGTTTTCGCTGTGGTATATCTGTGCATCTATGCCGCTCTTTTCATAGGTGCATCTTGCATATATTTCATCGGCAGAAACTGTTTTCCCCGCGTCGAACTATATGTTGCCTCTAGATTATCCCGCATTGCCCGAGAGACACCCCCGCCCCGCTCTCTGCCGTCTTGTCGCGGTGGTGTGTGGTGGCGTCATGGTTCTTTCTGTTTTGGCACGTTGTCGGATTTCATGGTTCCTTCTATTTTTGGCGTGTTGTCGGATTTTCATGTATCATAACTTAGCCCTATAACTAAAATAAAACTCTATAGTCCTCTATAATTGAATTTCCAGCGTTTGTGGGATCGAGTGAGATACTGTGAAGCAGAGATGCAGTTGGACAATCTTTTTTGGGTGGGAAGGATCAAGCTCCGGCGGAACGATTAGGTGGGGAGAATACGAGTGGTCATACAGAGAATTGTTTGGGCCAGGATAGTATCTCCTAGCTAGGACTCCGGTTCAGATAGGGAACTTATGACCGTATCAGACTAGATGATTGATGCCAAGCCCGTGGTTTGTGACTTCTGTTGCTGGCGCAAGACCAAACCTGGGTGACAAGAATCCCAAAGACCAAGAATAGAGACTCAATTAAAGACAGCTCCTCATGCCACAAGTCGACACCTCTAGGACCCCGCGTGACAACACCAAACCGCAGAGGGGCTGCTGTGGCTTGGCAGACCATTTTCCTGTATCCGCAATCATTGACCCTCCGAACCCTGCACTAGTTAAATCTCGAACGACCTACAACCAGGAGGAATCGAGATGTGGGAATAAGGCACATGGCAGGCTGAAGGGATAGATGCATGTTTTTAAATTTGCCTAGCCGTACCCGTATCCATACCCCTCGCTGAGTTGTTGTAATCGGACGCTGGCGCGGTGGGACAAGATCGAACGGCGACGGGCAGAATGTGGGCTCCGCTTACTTGCCTGTTTTGGAGCATATAGTGCCCGCCGGTCAGGGCGTGTTTGGATGTGTATGTACTCCCATCTTGCCTCGTGGTGGTGATGGGGATATGTTTACCACTCTTGGTCTTCGGGATATTTGATGTGCGAGTCCGGGGTGAGGTGTGGGGGTGAGGTGTGGGGGTGAGACAACTATGGGATAGGGAGGACCCGGGAGGAGTTTTCTCTGCTGGCTACCGGTACTGGTATTTGTATTGTGTGGTAGTACGGGTATAGAGTGGGAAGACGCAATATATGTAGGTAATAGGATGGTTCTATCACGGAGGAGGATGAAAGGTATCTTTTTATACGCAAAGATGACACATCGAGTTACTAAGGTTATCCTGTGGACACCGTTTCTAAGACCACCTTGCAACAGTGCTATGTAGATAAATGGCTTTCTTGTTTCCACCTCGATATTGTAGTATCGATATCTGAAACCAGGCACCCCGCGCACAGCCCGAACAATACCCACCGCCCCAAAAACAACCACCATAAGGTCTTGTAAGAACTACAAGTGACCCTACGATGATATAATGCACGATCCACAAACATATATACAGTCTTCACCAAATATCACTCGATTGTGATAAGGGCCGATATGTATGCGCCACGCATCTGCAGCTGTCATCGGCGACCCCGTCTGTGCTCAGATCCCTTACCTCCACCTTCTCTACCGAACCTGCCGACCTGCCTTACCCCATCCCATCCTTCCACTTGTCCGGCCGGCGAACCATGCGGGCGGGCAGGAGGCTTGACTTCGGACGAAGACAGAAGGGCAAAAAAAATACCGTTTGCATAAGTGGGGCGCTTTAGGGCGTTTCATCTTTTCTTTTCACAATTGGGAGTTACGCGCGCGTTGCATATGTATCTTTTTTTGTAATGGAAAAAACACCGATTCTATTAGACTACATATATTTACCTAGAAGAGAAGTTCAAGTTGAGGGGGAAAGAAAAAGTAAAAAAACGAATTGCCACTCCATCTAACCGATAAAAAAAAAGCACAAAAGCCCGATGACCCAGCCCTCTTGCTTGGTGCCTCCTTAAAACCGCGGGAGCGAGAATTAAGATCCAAGCCGATAAGAAAAAAACAAAATCCCTCGATACTGCAAGCAAAAAAGCAAAGCTTGCAGCAGACCAATCCAGGATGTGTGCCAAAACATCAATCCGACCCTACACAAAGAACACAGATAAAGAAGGAAAAAACAAAAACGAAAAAAACTAAGAGGCTTAAAAAAGCACTCTAGTTGCTTCTATTAGCATCATTTTTAATCTCCTCGAGCTTTTCGTTGGCCTTCTTGCTCTTCTTTCCCAGGTACGACGCGATGATGCTCATCAGGTCTGAGCTGACCACCAATCCAGTCGTCACACCTGCCTTGGCCATAGGAATATACCCCTTCTCTCCGGATCCTTGCCTGTTAAGCTCTTCGCCATAGACGTTGAAGACATACTCCTTTGTGTCATTTGCAAGCTCCAATCCACGTCGGTAGGTCTCACTAGCAAGCTTCTTTGGGTATCCAACGACCGAGTTCTTGATGTTCTCAGTAGGCTCCTTGACAATGGGGAAGCGCTCCTCGAGCTTCCCTAGGCTGCTTTCGGCGAGGTCATCGGCGCGGTTGACAAGAGGGGCGGCTTTGGAGAGGTAGGGCGAGAATGGTGCAATGAAGGTACTGTACGCAGAGTGTGTGATGTTGATGGATCGCTGGCCAAGAGGGTAGCCTTTGAAGGTGGTGATGGAGTCAGAGATTATTGGGTAAGAGGCAAGGTGGTCGAGTGACTTGTAGGTGACGGCCTCGCCGTTGGTCATTTCCTGGGTCTCGGTGGCAGACATTATGATGGTATGATAGTAGGTTGTACGAGGTGATTGTGTTTTTTTTTTATTGGGGGGAAATGATGAAGCTACTGATACGAGGCGAGTTAGTGGAATGTTATATATAACGAGACCAGAAGGATTGGCTTGAGGGTAGAAGGGGCAGAATAGGAGGAAATATGTGGTTGGGTTGAAGCCAGGAGGATCAACTTACTATGTAGCAATGAGGTAGGAGCGCAAGTGTAGATGAAGCAATGAGTAGAACTAAGGGACAGGTAAGATCAAGGCAGATGAGGGGGGGAAACCGTCGTATTTGTATTGAAACATATGTACCTCACACAGACCGTATCTGCCCAAAATTGAGTGGGTGATAAGTATCTGCGTCTACGTACGTATGCAGCAGCAACCCCTCTCGTCCCCCCCCACTGTATTTCGCGCTCCGCGCCGCAACTCTCGCCTCCCTCACTTTGCCTGACATGTGAAGAGAAAGAAAAAGAAAAAGCACCCCCCCAGTGTTGGACACCACTCGATAGGGTCTCTTATCATTGGGCTGGCTTGTCATGGGTGTGCTTTCCGATATCGTAAATCTGCCGGTATGTTGTCCGCAAACTGCTAGATTCGACGACTGCAGATTTCGACGATAGGTTGTGAGTCGTTTGGCCCTATCTGCAGCTGCATTATATTTTAACCGTTTTCTCCACTTTCCTGTCAACTCCTCTTCTTTAAACCTCTGGGTAGGCTATGCAGTCAATTAACTCTCAATGCTCTAGAACCGACAGAGGTTTCATCCAATTAACCCATCACAGGGTGGTCTCTTGATCTCTCGCCTTCAGGAGCTCAGACTGAGTGTGTTGCGAACATCGCGAGGAGTCAAAAAAAAAAAGGGCTTCACATGTGAAAACCGCTCGCGGTTCGAGCACGCCGCGCCAAAGATAACTTTCCCTAATCCCAATCCGCGGAAGGGACGATCAGCGCGCAAGGCAAGGATTAAAGCTCGCTCGGAAACCCAAACACACACCACACGAACTTCTCGCTTCCGGCCGCCACATGCATCGTCAGTAGTCAGCCCTGTGGCGGAAACGTTCCCTATGTGGACCATTGTGGTGGTGGTACTGGCTGGTGGGTACCTAGCCTGAACTCTCACATCGACAACAACATTGGTCGAATCGAAACCTTTTTTCCCGGCTTCAATTAGAGAACGAGTAGAAACCCTCTTCTCATTCCCGTGTACCCGAGGTACGTTCGTGAAGGTTAGGAATGAAAGAAATGGCATGAGGCTCAATTAAACCCACACACTAGGATACATACCCCTCCATATGATGATACGATCAGACATGTGCCCGCCAACACCAAATTTCTGGTTTTCCAACAACTCATGTCACATGCGAATGTTTATATTTATCATCTAATGTCAACACCAGAAATTTTTCTCGGAAGAACTTTTAACCCCCCCAGTCCCTATTGACAGAGCTTGGAGTTACTGCTAGAGTGTTGTGTTTCCGCTCTTGGAACCCGGTAATTGGATTATATGACAGTACTAGGCTGTCGAAACGTTTGATTTGATTGTCTTATATCCCGTTCGTGATATATCGATATCGATCCGTCAACCAGCCAGCCAGTGCTTCAACCAACCGAGAAAAACACTCATTGCGTGAAATGACTCGTGATGGCGCTCAGCTATTACCTACATATGTACCTACACCTACCTACCTACTTCATCGCCAGGCGAATCGGCGATGTCCGTGCGGTGCATGGCATCTTATTGTAGCCTCTGAAGCTTTTTTTAATTCCTAGGAAGGGTCCCAACTTCTCCCCATGGCCCACCCATCGATCTCATTTTCTCTTGGGTGATTCGTTTCACTGATGAATACGTGTTTCCCCCGCTCCATCTCCCCACTTCACGAGCATCAGCATCCGATCTGTTTGGGCTCGTGAAGTCATCCCACAGGTTATGATGGATATCAAATTTATCCGCCCCGCCCTAACCTCCTCCACCCATGGTAGAGTGGACCATGGAGGAGTGGAGGGAATGGCTGTTTTCAGGTTTTTTGTTTGTTTTCCTCGATCTCGATAGAACGTTGGATCCATGGAGATAAGGCCCAGATATGCGCATGTAACAGGGATTAGGTAGAGTATGTAGAGTACCGGTACGGTATTTGTAGTAACTCTACTGCATACAGGTTCTGGTAGTACTCATGGAATGGATCGGGTTATATCACCTCAATCAGTACATTTGTGTACTCTCAAGCTTGCTCCAGGAAGCTAAACACGGGCCGAGGGTCTTCTCAAAAATGACTGCCTTGTAGATCTGATTGACGCCGGCCGGGTATACTACTCTATCTCTATGCACATACACGTGTCTCAGGTACTCTACACTGCTTAATTGAGTTCTGCTATCTATCTCAAAAGTCGGTATCTGACTGGCAAATTACCAAATTCCTTCTCTGCAGAAGTGAGAGAAAGAAATGCGAAGGCCGGGGATCCGGGGATGCAGCCGGATGTACAGTACATAAGGTACAATATACATAATCACCCAATATACCCGCCTTCTAAGTTCATTTGTTTGAATCAATCGATAGCAATACGCTACATACTAGCAGAGGAAAAGATGAGAAGCGAAGGGGGAAGATATAAGTAGATGGCGGTAAACGAGTAGAATACCTGAACGCAGGAGGGGTGGGGGGAAAAATGCTGTATTTCGTTTCTCATTTACTACGAGAATAATATCTCTGAACGGGTAAGTACCTAAAGCTAAAGGTTCATTCCAACCTGCCACATGCCACCGAATTAGTTTCGAGCCGTCCAAATTCGGGATAGAGAAAGCGGCAAGCAAGATGGAGAGAAATGAAAACAGGAAGGAAAGCGCATACCTTTCGATAAGATGGATTCCAGAAGCAGTCTCCACAGCATGGCTCATCTCACCAGGTCTTAGCTCGAAGGCAGCATCTTCAAACTCCTTCTGCATTTCGCCCCTTCCGAAGAACCCACTATTCTCTGTCAGCACTGGGAAGGTGGTTTGCGATAGATATAGGAAGGGGAAACCAACAGATCGCCGCGCTTTCTCGCACTGCTGCAATCAGACTCGGTGAGCGCCAGGTCAGCTAAGCTAACCGAGCCATCTCTCACACGCGCCTCGAAGCCGAGAATTATCTCCATGGCCTCATCCTTTGTCCTTGTAATTTTGGCCTGTACCCTTATTCAGCTTAAGTTGGGGGGCTGGGGAAGGTGGGCACAACAAACCTCCTTCCATGAGCTAGCCCTTCTACTTCCCTCATGCTTGACAAGCAAGTGGCTGCATCTGATCTTCCCCGCCTGGCCACCGCCCTCAGACGGCTGCAGCATCGTGGCGGGGAATTTATTCGCCATATACACCTTCAGCTTCTCGGTGTCCGCATCAGGTGGAGGAGCCCATTGCGATGCGTTGGTAGAGGTGTTGAAGTAGTATGGGAGGTTCTTAGACTTGGAGAACCGCACGGTCCAGTGAGCGGGGAGACCGGTTTCTTCGGTAGACTAGATGCCGCGTATTAATATCGTACTGTGTCATAGCCCATGCAGTCTGCACTTCACTTCACTCCATCCCTCCCAGCGGGTATATATCTACTGTAGTTGCTGTACCGCAGCAGGGGGTGAAAAGGACGGGAGAGGAGCGAGGGGAGGGGCATAGATTAGGTTGCATACATACCATTGTTGGAAAGTGAATTGACTTGGACACTGGGTTGACTTAGATATCGAGATATGAAGGACTTTTAAAGAGAGCAAGCTGTTTCTTAGGATGCTGCTGCTAGCGGAGAGGCGGCGACCTATAGATGAGGGGTTGGCAGTTGGACAGTTGGACAGTTGCCGGCTGCGTAACCAAGGTCATGCGCCACTCGCAGACGAATTAGCCGAGCCCGCAGATCGTGGGGTTATCCATTGATGCCCGCATCCGCACAACAGGTCACAACGTGATGTGTTCTACACCGCTCCCTACATACATAAGGAAACTTCTAGGCACAGCTATGCACTGGTACCTTTGTATACGAGTGATACCTTATGATTTAATCTCATAATACAAAGGTTCAGGACGAAAACAATTTTGCAAATGACGGTACTATGTGGTTAGCCAAAAACTTTCCGAAGAACTAACGGGGGTATGTACGTAGTGAATCCTCATAAAGGGAAGAGGCCGGAAGGCATGAAGCTACCAGATTGATTAAGTGTGCGTCCAACAAACGACGAACTCACTCTCTAGTATAAGCGAAGAGGAACGTAAACTATATATTATATAAATCTACAATCAAATTCTTTTCTAGCGTTATAGATCCATCACTCATGTTACCAGCAACACACCGCACCGAAACAAGGGCCCCACCGCCACCTCAAGCCACAAAGAGCCAATATGTAATTTTTAATAAGGGATAATGCTAGTATTATCAAGATTTAGTGATGTCTCGGGATTGAAGAGATTGCACTGGTTTGAACGGCCTTATGGACCAGATGGCCTCACACTAAAGAACACTAAAAAAAAAAAAACTCAGGCGGCTTATTGCAGGTCTTCCTCTTCGTGGCCCTAGTTGTTTTTTTTTTGTTTAATTCTTACAGTTATGGCAATTGTGGCCCTAGTTGGAATACAATCTCCTTAAACAAAAAGTCGGACTTTGCTTAGCCTGATTTTTTTTTTTTTGGTTTAATTCATTACTTGCATGCAACCTTACAGTTATGGCTTGCTTAGCCTGGTAACATATATGTATTTAAATAGAAAATTTGTAGCTATTTTAATTCAACGAAGATTTGTTTTTTCTAACCCGTTTTAGCCATAATTTCCGTCACCAGGTCTCACTCGATATCAAATATTATCAACGAATTGTCAGCGATAAAATCCCAGAAAAAGGAGAGTACCTAGGGTTACATAGAATCCCAAAAATGAATTTGAAAGCATTTGACTAAACCTCAGTAGTATTAAATAAAAATATTGTTTATATCAAACTTCCTCAATATTTGAAAGCAATTTGAATGAAAAGAAGCGCCATATTTTTTTTAAAAAAATTAGACCTCCACATCCATAGTTCAAGATTATATTTATACACAAGTTCGGACCTTATTCTAACCGTTCGGGTAGCGGCTAGCAATATACTCATGTATTATCACTCGGGTCGATCAGTTTCCATATTAGGTTATCGGTTGGTGGGTGTCCGGGGATTAATATATACACGTACATATCATCTAACGTAGTGGACTTGGGCTTATAGTTAACCGTACTGTGGAGAGTATGTAGGTGGAGATGATGCTCTTTAGATGCATGTAGGATTGACTGGGGGCAAGTCTTATACACCTACATCACAATATATTATATACAAGTCGTTGCCGGCCTTCGGCCGGAGAGGATAATCCATCATATATTATTTTTTAGTGCAATTCTATATGAGAATATAGCCACAGGAAGGGTATACTCAAAACTTTATATTAATGTAGAAGAATCTAATTCAAAATTAGCAAAAAATAACCTTTTATTTTTGATTTTACCTGCATTCATGTTGGTCTATTAATACTTAATCAGCAAAAAATCTTTTACTAGTTCTAATGGCTCTGGTCTGCATTCAGGAACAACTTTGAATATGGCAGAGTTGGGACAGGTTTGAGAACGGAATCAGAGGAGAATCTCTGAGTGGAAGATAATACCAAAATCTACTAATTATGGAGAGAAACAAAAATCAATGTTATCATGATTATATCGTACCGAGAAAAGCAAATATTGATAATGTGATATCGTATCAAGTAGAGCAAAAATCAATACCCTGATATCGTATAAAGAAAAATAAAAATCAATATAATTTGTAACAGGGCCACAGTAGGGCTGTTACAAAAATACCTGTTCTACCAGTCAAGCCATACGGCCCTAGGTTAACCGCAGCTGGTTCTTCATCGATGGGTGAAGAGAAGGGCAGATGCGCCCCTACCTCTATTGGTATAGAGGGTAGAGATCCTGGCGAGCAAGAAGTCTTACAAGTCAAGCTAGACGACTGAACCAAAACTAGAGCAGCAGGACGAGCAGACCAAATAAGGAAGGGTAACCCCAAACATAAATTACCCTACCTTGGCATTCAACCTTTGAGGCGCAATAACTTTGCAGCCGATGCCCGGAAAATATGCTTTACCACGTCAGAAAGGATCCTGGCGATGCTCCGGTCCATTTGGGGTGGTTGAATGAACGCATTGCGGAGTTGAGGAAACACTGCAAAATAAACACGTTTTAGACCCCCAAAAATAACCCCCGGAGCGTCGAACCGCCGGAACCCTCCTGTTTCAGCCCGGTGCATCTTTGGGGGGGGTAAGAGTGCGACCCAAACTACCAAAGCAAACCTTTGCTTTAAAAACACCCAAATCTATTCTAAATACTCTGAATAAGCAATTGCTGTCTGGTCGGCTGTTTCCTCTAGTTCCTAGGATCCCGACCCTTTCTTGGCAAGGATTGCGAGATTTGACTCGGACGAAAATTCGTCCGCGGTGTGGTAGCAACTCTTCTCCTCCCCCCTGATAGAAAATAGGTGGTGCCCCCAGATTATTTGAAAGGCGGACGGCCAGTGAAAAAAGGAAAGAGGTAATGAAGGAAGGGGCGCCGAACTTCCATAAAGGAACTCGGTTGCCCCAGCTTGGCTTCGGGGGGATCAGCGAGTCTTTACCAGCGAGGAGCCCCCTTAAAGTTATTAAGTTTCTAGACTACAAATAACGATCAAACAAATGAAACTCTATCTTTCCATCGAACGAGCCGAAAGGATAGCTTGTCAAATTCCTTTCTGCCTATCTACCTGATCGAAGTCACGGTCGCGCCCTTTCAAGGCACCCCCGTTACAGTATAACTTTAAGCTCCTCGCTTAAAGAACCCCACGAGAAAGAAAAAAACCTACCTGAACACCTAGGACCACTTTCAAGGCTGAAATAACCGAGCAGTTAGCTTTTTTTTTCAGCTCAGGCTGGCATGGGAGAGGCTAACACTTTACTATGGTCTCCACTGTATCCGTCAGAGGGTTATAGCGCCCACATTCGCTCAAAGGGTTATAGCGCCCACATTCGCTCAAAGGGTTATAGCGCCCAGCTTCGCTCGGAAAGGAGACCACATTCAGGATCGCTCCTAGAAAATCCTGATAGTCCCATTGACCAACGGCCCCCATTCCCCATCTGGGCCCCAGTCCCAACCAAAGTCAACGTTACTTCGTCCACGATGACGGCAGGAAGAGTCCGGAAGAGGGGGATAACTGGCTTTCTTCTGGCGCCACCATGCCTCGTAATATGCTTGGAGAGCCAGTCTTTGTCTCTCCCTTGCCTCTTCTTGGACCACTCGCTGCCGCATCCACTCAGCTCCCCTTCCATCTCGCGCAATCTCATCCCGCATCCACCGCACCTGTTCCCGTTTCTCCATCAGTGCCGCACGGACACGAGCCTGACCAACACTTCTGTCCCCTGGTTGGGAGAAGGGATAAGGACGACGGTAATCCTCCCGAGTCAGAAATGGGACCTGGTTGAAATGGCCATCGAAGGTCGAGGTCTCCAAACTCCGAGGAACAGCATGCCTGTGGAAGCATTAGCGGTAGTAAGAAGAGGTTACACAACTCGCTGGATCATGCCTACCTCATAGCACTCCGTGATCGGACGGCTTTACGAGCAACTCTCCGAGCGTGGATGGTGTTACCACCATCCAGCTCCAGGAGATCAGTAACAACCGCACCAGTTGAGGATCTAAGCCTTGTCCCCCGCCGAGATCGACTAGCGTTAGATAAAAACGCTTGTACAATAGACGAATTGATCGCAATGAACAAAGAGAGGAATAGAATAAAGAAAAACATTATTGCTGAAAGGAGGTGATAAATTTGGTGTTGGGTGTGGAAAGATCGAACTCCCTGGAGTGTAGAATGAATAGAAGGAAAAGAATTCTTACCCTCCTTAGTTCGACGGATACCCCGCTTTTATAAGCGAACTCCTATTCCAGTTCCGAGAATCAGCGTGGTTAGCCGAAGCAGGAGTTCGGTCCGGCTTTAACCGAACCCGGCACTAACCGTGGAAGGAGACAAGGACACCGAGTTTACCTGGTCTGAGGGATAGGAGCATGCGTTCGAAGTCCTGAAAGAGGCCTTCCATCCGCCCCCGTACTAGCCCACTTTGATGCCGAGCTAGCTACCAAGATTGAGACCGATGCCTCCAACTTCGCTAAATCTAGCATACCGTCCCAATTCCACCGAGATGACAACAAGTGGTATCCAGGAGTCTTTTACTCCAAAATGATGTCACAAGCCGAACGGGATTATGACGTTCACGACAAGGAGTTAGGTGCCATTGTGTCATGCTTCAACGAGCGAAGTCTCCCAGGAGAAACCTCCAGCCGGAGGGAAACCTCCAGCCGGAGAGAAACCCCCGGTGGAGAAAAAAAAAAAAAAAAAAAAAAAAAAAAAAAAAAAAAAAAAAAAAAAAAAACCAGAACCCAGAACCAGCGGGTAATGGTGGACAAAATGGAATAGTCCCCCCGGTTGGTGGCGATCCCAACCCGGGAGGGGACTCAGATAGTTCAGATTCAGAGCCTGAGTATGGAGATAGGAGAGGATGGCGGAGATACCTCAGGAAGATGCTGGAGAAGCAGCAGACAGAGCTCCTGGCCTCCATGACACAGTTCATGAGACCTCCGGCCCCCTCACACCCCTCCGCTGCCTCCAGGGC